ATCGTTTTCTAAAATAAATAAAATGCTACGTATATCGCCAAGTCTGTATATAAGTTATGCAAGCTAAGGACGAGCCGTAGTTCGTTTGGCTCACTTGCTGTGGTACGAGCGGCCGGTCCGGGGTTCGGTTCGTGGAATCAACCCAGGAGCCTCACCTCGGAGATTTATTCACCGTTAATAATTTCAGTTGTCTCTCACGCAGATGTGTCACAATGGTCAAGTGACGTGCCCGCCACGCTCGGAGTCTGATGATCTTCGAGTATCTCTCAGCTGTGTTCGTTGTCTAGGTATAGTTATAGGTTTGTTTGCATACAGTGTGTGTGAGGTGTGCGTGTGTGTGGTTGTGTGTGTTTGTATCCGAACAGATACGACAGCTGTACTTAGATGAGAGGTCTAAAAAAAATCATGCAAGCCGCAAAAGACAAAAAAAAAAAAAAGGAAGCTTGTCAGCTCAACACGTGGACCACTACTAATTGTGCTCGGCAGTGGCCGATATCAAGCAGCATCATCATCATAGTTGTTTTCATTTCCGCAAACTAATGCGCATTATGGTTCATCAGGGCCTATAGTAGTAGAGTAAGATATCTCCAGACTCCAGTTCTCCACTGCCTGTCATCGGGCCTGTTCGCTGGTTGGTGTTGGTGCTGATTTGGGCTGGCTGGTGCTGGTTTTTTTGAGAGAAAAACACTGTTGGCTGGCTGGTTTGGACTGGTTGAAACCAACCAGCGAACAGACAGTTCATTATCTAAACTTGTTCATACAGAGCCCAATAAACTATAGGCAGTTCATTATCTAAAAAAAAAAATAAACTATAGGCAATTATGGTGCCCCGGTCGTTAGCCGACGACTGAATTATATTAAGAAATAGACAAGCAAATTGAGATGGGCGGCGCAGCGGCGGGCAGAGCGGTCGCTGACGGGATCGCGTCATTGCAGGCCGGGGCCGACAGCCAACAGGGCTGAGGGCCACCACGGCCAATCAGTGCCTGCCCCTGCTGGCTGCTGCCCTTGATCGCGCCGCGTTCGTGCCTGCGTTTTCACGGCAGATTTCTTTCGTACGCATCGTGCGTTCTTCATATATGTAGATTATTAACTAAACTGCATCGAATTGCATTGCGCTACGTGGTTCATGTCTGGCCGCAACAGGGCTGTTATTGTTGGCGGATATGCAAAGTGTTACCATCAGTCCATCGCAGTCTCAGAGACCACTCCATCTTTCTTAGTATTTGTTTTTATAAGGAAATGCTCAAATGCACAGGTCAGCAGGAAAACTATAGATTGGTTCCCCTGTCTTGGTTTCGAGCTAGATCCCGAATTATTTAACTGCTGCACATGACATTTTCATGCTACCCTACTGCTGACACGGACTGGCCGTTGCATTTGGGGAGGGCCATGGAGCATGCAAGGTCAGGTCAACGCCGACCCCAGCACAGGGATGACGAAAATGTGTGTGTCCCCGTGCTCCATGACCTAATGCTGCGGCAACAGGCGTAAGCACAGGCTGGACTTCTGTTCCATAAATGTAAACCTGTCACACGTATGACGTGTAGACCATGCTTAATCTGCACCAAGCCTTATGCTACTACTATTCTCACAACTTCTCTTCAGCCTATCATAGGAAAGTCAAACTGCTACAGAAATACAAGCTGAAATTATATTACGAGACGCAGAAACACAGAGTATTGAATTTGAACGTACAAACATGCCATATTTGAAAAAAAAAGGAGAGAAAATCGCAACAAATTTGAGGTCTCTGGTCTCTGTTCTCGATTACATTGTCGTGCCTGGCAATTGATTATTTCATACCTACCAAGCCGCTTCCCAAACGACAAACGTGCATCACCAAATTGGCCGGATGCCATATAATGCACGCTAGGTAGGGTCATGAACAGGTCAGGATGGTACACAAATCGTTGATCACATGCCACATACTTTGGTGGTTGCTGCAGTGTGTGTTCTCCAGCAAAAGCTTCCCAAAAGGGAACTCCACAACAGGCGCAGCTAGCGCATCCAACACCTACCACCCAGATGTACCCCATCCTTATTAAACACAACAAAATCAGCGCCAATATAAACAACCGCATTAATCCAGCATCACAACATAGCTTGATTCCATATTGTATTTCCCCACCTTAATTAAAATACTCCTACTACTGTCCAAGATGCATGTGTTTAGCACCAGTAGAAGTTTGCGAGTTCCAAGGCGCTAGTTAATTAAGAAAGGGAATGAACATGGAGATCAAACAAGATGCATGTGTTTAGCCGTACAATGCAACTTTGATCTTTTCTTTCCTTTCCTTTGTTTTTATCTTGCGGAAATATGCACGACTTTGATCTTGGGCGTGTTGTGCGGTGCAACCTCAAGTACTCCTATGTAGAGAACGATTTGAATTCAATGTCATGTCATGTCATTGCCATGACTACTAGGAGAATACTCTGCCAATCTAGAGGGTTTGGATTAATGATGTGTGAAGTCATGCTGTTGAAATGTTCCAGCATGGTCGTCCTCTAGAAAGATGGTACATGGACCACTGGTGCTTGAGACTTGAGGTAGTTCCATATAGACCAGGTAACTTAAACCGATAGTAACATTCTAGTCCATCTTTTGTTGCTGGTTTCTTCCTGAAGTGAAGTTTTGTTCAACTCTTACAGGAAACTGATCAGTTAGGACCGAGCCGCAATATTCTACAGTTTGCATTCTTCTTACTATCAAATATTTTAGACTGACCATGTATTTCAACCCTCTAATCATGTCTTAATTGAAGATTAATCTATGTGCATATTAAACCATTGAAAGGAAAATTATAACGCACCCACCGCAATGCATAGTACTTATTATTTCTATAATCAGTAATCACGTCTACAAGATTATCGAATAAAGTTGTGGCTCCGATAGTTTTTCTTTGGTTTGCCAATATTTTTTTGAACGGTCTTTGGTTTGCCAAATAACATCCACAAAAAAACTGAATCGTCTACTAGCTCTTGGCATCCGTTACCTTATCCCTTGTCACCTTCACTTCTTTAGCGGGCTCCTGCACATCGTCTAGAGCTGGTATTAAATCCAACTGATAACCCGGCTGAAACTGTTTTGTTGTAAGAGAAAAATACTGTAGATTCTAGCTGATAAGCCGGCTGATAAGTTCAAGCGAACAGGCCCGTTATCTTTTCGAAAGGAAAATCACTTTACATTAATGGTGCATGAGGTTACATGTTGGCAAGGTAAGTTAAGGCGGTAACATTCCAGTCCACCTTGTTCTTGGTTCTTCAACTCTTAGAGGAATTAGGGGCTATTTTTTTAGTTTTTTTTTGCTGACTTCTATCCGTCAGAAGCCATAAGCTGAAACAAACGGCACACTAAAAAACTAGAAAGCTAACTTATGAGGAAATATGACAATGTTCTAGATTCTCGTTTTAGGTTTTAGGTCTAGATTCACTTCAGAAACATTTCTCCGATGAATCAGAATTACTTCGTGAAACCGTGTGGCTAGCTCGCTGGATTCTTCAAACTAGAACAAAAATTAGGAGAATCCATTTTTTGGTTGTTTCTCAAGACTAGTATAAAAATGAGAATCGGTTCCAAGTGTTTCTCCCTTAATTGTTTCTATATTCATGGCGTTTGGCATCGATTATAGTGATTCTATTGAGAATTTGAAACGTTTCTCTCTGCTAAGCGCACCCTAAAAGCTAAAAAGCATGCTAGGAGAAGTTAGCTTTTGATGCTCCGAGAAGCTAAAATTTTATTAAAAACTCAATAGCAAAAGTAAACAACTAGAAGCCAAATAAAAATTAATTGCAGAAGTCATTAAAGAAAGTCAACAGATAGAAGCCGAAAGTCAGAAAACCATCTTTTATTTAAGACAAAAGTCCAAAAACTGCAGTTCAAACAATAAGGCCCAAAGTAGTTACAACCATGCCACAATGTTCTACAATTTGCATTCTTGTTATCAATCCAAAAGGTTGATCGTATACTTCCACCCTCTAACCATGCTCCAAGTGAACAATGATCAATCTTATCTTCATGTTATATCCTCAAAAAATTACAACACAACCATCACAATGCATAGTATTTGTAGAACCACACCTACAAGATCATCTAAGTAGCCGTGGCCGGTGGCTCCAATAGCTTTTCTCTGGTAGAACCGCACATACAAGATCATCTAAATAGTCGTGGCTCCAACCTCAAATAGCTTTTCTCTGGTTCGCCGAACAACGTCCCAAAGATTGGATTGTCTCTACGTGCGTTACAACATCCCGTGTCGTCTTCACTTGTTCAACGCCCTTCCCCACGTCACTTGGAATATAGCCACAGTCCACAATACATCGCTAGCATCTTTTTCGAAAAAGAAAAAAAAAGAACATAACCGGGCTGTGAAAGGAAACCGGACATGTCCGTGGGGCTCTGAAGCGGACGGCCAGGATCAGATAAGGCATATATGGCCTTAGGCCTTAGGCACCTTGCCGTGGACCCCACGTCCCGGCCGCGCCGCACGGCATGCGTCCCAAGGTCGGGTCCGGGTGTACGGTGACGCGAGTGACGCTGCCACCGTCCGTCCCAGCCGCCCCGGCGGCATCCCGGCCAGTGGGTGGCGCGCCCCCGTTGCCCGCCCGGTCCGACGCCCCGTAGGCCGCAGGCATAATAGCATAAAAGCGACCCGGCCCTTAACTAACCGCAATTCAACCTCGACGCCGGATCCGCGCCCGCTAGGGCCCGACTCGCCGCCACGTCACCCGCCTGGGGCTGGCCACGGGCGCACCCGCCGAGGTATTTATACGAGCGCCCCGGGGGGAGCCAGCGCCCCACACACACCGTCCTCCTCTGTTTCGCCAGGGCCAACGGGTCGAGTTGAACCAACGCCACCATTACAAGAGAAGAGATAGGTGGGGAGGCAGACGAGAGGTGTAGGGAATTTGGCCGGCCGGGGGCTGTGGAGGGAGTGAGTGCGAGAGGGAGAGAGGCAGGGGGTGTGACGAGCGAGCGTGGGCTGGCGATCGCGGGAGCCATGACGACGGCGGCCGGCATGCCGGGGTCGCCGGTGGGCTCGGCGGCCGCGGCGGCTGGCGGTCCCGCGGCGCCCGAGGTGGCGGCCAGGGACGCGGTGATCGGGTGGTTCCGCGGCGAGTTCGCGGCGGCCAACGCGATGATCGACGCGCTGTGCGGCCACCTGGCGCAGATCGGCGGCGGCGGGCCCGAGTACGACCCCGTCTTCGCCGCGCTCCACCGACGCCGCGCCAACTGGTTCCCCGTCCTCCACATGCAGAAGTTCTACCCCGTCGCGGACGTCACCGTCCAGCTGCGCCGCGTCGCGGACGCCCGCGCCGCCGCCGCTGCCGCCGCGGGGTCCTGCTGCTACTCGGAGGAGGCCACGTCCACGGTGATCCAGGAGCCCATGGAAGACCTCCCCGCTGAGGCTGAGCCCGAACTGGAGCCGGAGCCGGAGCACGAGCAGGAACAGGATCCCATACAGCAGGATCCGGCACCGGCGGCCGAGGAGGCTGACGGCACCGTCATCGACCCCGCCGTGGAGTACCACGAGCAGGACGCGGAGGTTGATTCCTCCGGAGATTCGTCGGAGCGGAAGGCCCCCTCCACGGTAGACGACACCGTAGCAGACGGACGTAAGTACAATCACTACCAACCCGCAACTTAAATCCTCCCGTGCTCACGTCAATTAATTACCCTGCCTGTTGCATGCCTGCATCCCGTTCATGCTCCGGCCTCCGCATTCGAATTTGCCAAATCCATCGTCGTTTCCGTTAGCTCAACGTCCGCACTAGTAGAGTAGAGTTTCTAAAATTATCAAATAAATTTCGGCCGATTCGTAACTTTTGGATCTGGTAGCCAGGTGTGGCTTCCTCCGCAAGTTTTTTTCTTATTACTACTAATCTCCTACTTTTTGGGGCCTAACTAAAATGGGATGAGGACTAGTGTATAATGCCTTTTTTTTTTGGAATTTTAAGGGACGAGGACTAGTATAATGTCTTTTTTTGGGAATTATATTTATGTTTTCGATTCGCGAGATTAACACGCTTCCAGATTACGCTTAATCATGGCACTATATGTGCTTAAAGCTGCACAGCAGCGTTGGTTCATGGGAAATGGGAATGGAGATGGCTGGCGCACGGGTCCATTTCTTCTGGTGGTTAGTGGAAAATTGGAGCGCGAGGTCCAATAATTCTTCTTCGTGTCCATGTCCAACCTCTCGGTCAATCCTGGCCATGGGTCGTGGAGGCGGCGGAGAAGGTAGTAGCCGTGAAAGGGGATCACGAGGGTCGAAAAACCCTACCGCTTTTCCTCCGAGGCTCCGACGGCCTTCTTTTTTTTTTTACGGCCACCCTTTTGGCCTGCCCTGGTCCCGCGGAAAAGTACCGGTGCCAGTACGGTGGCCTCTTGCAATTACGCGATGCGTTTATTGTCGCTGCTTCGCCAGCTAGATCTGTTCGTTTGGCCGTGACTTATTATAAACGATCGTAAATTTCTAACTGGAATAATATTTTTCTTTCACATAAACTAGTCAGCAGTATTTTTTTACGAATCAGTAACGAAATGAACCAGCCAACCGAACAGGCTGCTAATCGTCCGCTTGGCCTTAGCTTATAAGTTGTATTTTTTAAGTTAACAAATAATATTTTTTTCTCGCACCAAATCAGTCAACAAGACTTTTAGATATGACTTATCAGCCAAACAAGCTCAGACAAACAGGACGAATAATGTTGGAGTAAGAGTAGTTTATTTATTTTATTATTATTTTATAAACGTGCAGTGCAGCTACGGGCTCTCGGCCGCTCGGGCGCCTCCGCCCGAACCCTGGCCGAGGGCGGCAGCGGCCTCGAATCCATCGTTGCAGTTGGGTACACCAGCCTGGTTGGGTCTGGTCCGTGCAAGTGTGCAGCGGTGCTGCGATTGGCTGTTGCCGTGTCTGCAAATTGCTGCCCATGTGTCGCTCTCAGATCGATCGGCGCAGGATGTAGCACGGTTGGCCTTGACGGAACTTGTGACTCCTCACTTGATTGAGCGAGCGGGCGGTCGGTGAGTGCCACTCCCACACTGACGCCAGCCTTGAACTCGAGCTCCCCAGCGGCGTGCCTCTGACGCTAGTTAATGGACCCACATGAGCCCGCACCAAGGGAGACCGACCACCTGGCCCCAGATCGGGTTCCGGGTGCCAGGAGGCTGGATCTGGTGCCGCGCCGATCGGATCGGCCGCCCCGGGCAGCCCGGGCCGCACACGTGGTCGCCCGTGAGCCACTGTCTCGTGGGACCCCGGCCAATCAGCCGAATGTACTGTGAGGGGTCCAGTCCGCTGGGTTTCGCGAAAGAACTTCTTGTCTCCGTACGCCATGTTGCCCAAGGTGGTGGTGGACCGTGGCGGCTCCCGTCGAGTCTTCAGCCGCTAGCGCGGCCGTCAGGGGGTGGTAGGTGTGGCGTAGGGTGGAGACCGGAGAACTTTTGGAGCTTCTTGAATTTCTTCGCACATGCACGATTGAGCTGTGCCATGGAATTGATTAATTGGGTTACAACAACGTCGCTGGGGTATGCGCTGTCCATTGATGATGCCATCATGTTCCAAGCTTTGTCCAGATGCTGCTGCTGTTAGTCAGCTTGCCTTTTTGCAACCCGTCTCGATTTTAGAAGATTTCAGTCGACCTCCCCCAAAATTCACAACCGATGGACTATAACTTGCTTCAAAAAAACCGATGGACTATAACTTTTTTTTTAAAGAAAGTAAATGGAAAACAATTCTTGTGTTTCTTGTGATGGACCATTGCGAAAGCTAGAAAGAAAAGGAGGGAGTGATATAAGGCCTTCCCCAACGCTGATTTTTTATTAGGAGTCTTAAGTGTCATATATGATCGGATAAAAAAAAGTAAGAAAAGGAGGGAGTGATATAAGGCCTTCCCCAACGCTGTTTTTTTACTAGGAGCCTCAAGTGTCATATAGGATCGGATAAAAAAAAAGTAGGTACTCTATACTTATCATAGTGGGTTGCAAAAGCTACATATGCTTGGGGAGAGATAATATGGTCCATGCTAAAAAAACGAGAGAGAGAAAATAAAGGTGAGACATGATGAAAGAAAAAAAGTTTCTTTGCAAACCACGAGTAGTGATAGTTTGTATTGTGTGAATAGTAGTCTTATCATTTACTAGTCTATGTGGATCACCTTATTTGTACTAGAACCACTAAAAGTGTTAGCCCGGTGGTCCGCGGATTACTGGAGTATCATCTTTATACCCGTCCTTGCCCAATAATTGGAACATGTATACTGCTGCTGGTCCCTGCTTTCATTCGGTTCATGCGACTACAGACACACTACAATGCCCGTGTTCACTTCTTTCAACTTTGGCGAATCTCTTGTCTACGCGCTCTCCTCTTTATCATATTATTATATCACGGAACGCACTTTTTTTCTCTCCATTCATGCTGTAGTCCGTAGAAAGTGACACCACTAGGGTGCAGCAGCTTGAGATTCAACCAAAAACGAAATCATTTCTTCCTGGGTTATGATGAATATTTTGAAGATCCAACGGGTGATAAAAGCAGCACATGACAGAACGATTTGTGAGAATTTGAACGGGTGATAGACTGGACCTGTTGGTGCTGATCGAGGGACCTTGCCCCCTAGCAAACTCCCAAGTGAAACTTAATCATGCCATGCGTGAAAAGTGAAGATTAAGTACAGTCTGTATTTTATTTTACTGAAATGTTTCTGTTCTCTTGGATCTTGCTTTCTCCAAAGTTAAAAAGTTTTGATACCCAGTAATAAGGATGTTATGTCCTAAATGAGATAGCTTCGTTGAAGAATTTGGTGTCTATTTGCTTTTTTGTTGTTGCAAACCGTAGTATATATCCAACAATCGTTTGGTAGCCTCTGAGATATATATTACTTAGCAGATCATACTGATCAAGGATCTCAAGGGGAACACAGCCTACCAGAGAGCTATCCCATCTGCTCTGACCACGAGGAGTGCATTGCCCGTCCTGAGAGGATCAAGATCCAGAAAGGTTTCGTGGCCAAGGAATCCGTGAAGGGGCACATGGCGAGTTCCAACTTTACACCACTCAGCAATCTTTCTGTACAGAAGGACTAGGAGATGCTGTAGGAAGTAGTAGCACTTCTATTCATCTTAAAATTCATTTCTTCTGAATACACTCTTTTTTTACCGATGTTCATGACCTTGTGCTACAACCAGGTTAATGTCGTGAAAGGCTTGAAGATATATGAAGATGTGTTTACAACATCGGAGATCATGAAAGTTGCAGAATTCATCAATGAAATTCGTCAGGCTGGCAGAAATGGAGAACTTTCAGGTAAGTTGTGTTCCTATTGCTTCAGAAATTCTCGTTCATGAAGTTTACCTATATGTCTAAAAAATTTAGTATTATTTTTTTATTGTGTTTGCTTACTTCTATTAGTTTCCATAGCTAACATGTGGTTATTTCTCCAAAAGAAAAAAAATCTGCGGTATCATCCATTGATGCTTTAATAAGATACCAAAATGCTTTATGCACAGCATCTAACTGTGGTCCTAGTTCAGGCTTTCATTCATTACCTTTTATCATTGCTGATTTTATGTCTTATATAATTTTGTGCTAACTGGCTCATAGATCTAGGGTCCTAGGTCCTAGTAATTGTCGCCCCCATATTATAGAAACAGAAAAATATAAGATGCTGAAATTTATAACTCAGTAGAACTTGAATCTAACAAACAAAAGTAAAGTTATCAACCTAGTGACTAACACGCTGATCGATTTGACATGGTTCAGCTAACTTGAAGTTTACCTCTCTTAATGAAAAAAAAACACCTTTGAACTGAATATATAATTTAATACTAGTAACGTATTAGATCGCTTCTGTTTTATTGGAATAGGTCGTGCCAAGCCATGGTAACGTCCGTCCAAAGTCGTGCACAACAAAATGTTGATCCAAGTAAGACCTCAACTGACCTCTTAAGTTCCCGACTATGCTGACCCCTCCTTAAGAATTGACATAGAATCCACCACCTGGGTACACTCTCATTGGGTTTTGGATGAAATCATCACATCCAAGTAAGCTACCTGAACTTGGAAACCACTAATTTTTTTCTTAGCTCTGGTCAGTGTGTTCATCTATTTTGTCTCTTGAAATTTGACCGTATGTTTACGTGCTCAATGAAGTGAGTATCTTGTAATATTGCCTTGGTGCAATTTCCTTGTTCAGTCCGGTGCTTATTATATATCTTTTTCTTTTTCAAATTTAGGTGAGACTTTCATATTCTTCAACAAGCAGATCAAAGGAAACAAGAGGGAGATCATACAGCTCGGTGTCCCGTTATTTCAACCTACCACAGAGGAAGCTAATTGTATGTTCCGAAGACTCAGTACCTCGTTTTCTTCAACTTGCTTACACTGGCAAGCATATGCCTTATGTGCATAGCGTATTTGTATGACTATGGCATCTAAAAACATTGAAATGCCTTGTGAATGATGTCCCAAATGTCCTCTTTTTCTCCTTGTCCACAGGTCACACAGAACCAATCCCCCTGGTCCTGCAGGCTGTCATTGACCACCTTGTTCTTTGGCGTTTAATACCAGAAAGCAGGAAACCAAACAGTGTCATCATCAACTTCTTCGATGAGGTAGATGTTGATGTTTTATTACTATATAAATAAATATGACAGCACACTCGATGAAATCAAATGCTCTTTCGCTTCTATTAGTCATAATATCTGTGCAGATCTTGTACCTTTCACCCGAGTTGAATAAAGTTGGCCTCTTTCAGAACTACGGTCATTCACCCTCTGTTTAGAAAAATAAAGAATTTTAGAATTATAACACACTGAGTGTGGTTTAAATTTAAATTTTATTTTATGTATCTCTTAAAACACCCTGTTAAATATCCTCTAGTGAACCTCCAATTGTGGGACCGGGTAAAAACGTAATTGAAAAGCATTTGTCTGACACTGTCAACTTTACATTTGATTTAGTGAGTAACAAAAACTGGGGGTGAGATTACAGGGTTGACAAACTGAAGAAAAAAGATGTTACCTTACTGACACATATTTGTTATTAACACTAAGAAATTGTTACCTGGACATCTGTGTTCTCTACAGGGCATGGATAGATAGCTCAGTTTTACAAACAGCAAATATCCCTTCCTCGGGCAAGTGTCATTTTTAGGCTCTCACAAGTCAGTTAACATGTTTCGCAGGATGAACATTCACAGCCCTACTTCAAGCCTCCCCATCTGGACAACCCCATTTGCACTCTTCTGCTGTCTGAAACTACGATGGCATTTGGCAGGTCACTTGTCACTGACAGCAACGGCAACTACAAGGGACCCCTCACACTCTCACTAAAGCAAGGGTAAGCTTAACAGTTGCATTATCTATTTAATCATACTATCTAAGATGAAACATAAGGCTCATGGCCATGGAATTGCGCTCCAAAACCTGCAGGTCCCTATTAGTGATGCGTGGGAACAGTGCCGACATGGCGCGCCATGTGGTGTGCCCGTCGTCCAACCGGCGCGTGAGCATCACGTTCGCAAGGGTGAGGCCATCCACGCCTGTGGACCTGAGCCCACTCCCGTCCCCCACCAAGGCCATGACACCCTGGCAGCCGCAGCCGGCCACGGCCTCCCAGGTGGCGGCGCCCGCGTGCATGACGCAGAAGCCCCGGTCAGCGGTGCCATAATCGGTTATGCCCCGACCCCGCAGGCCGTGCTGCCGCCCGCGGCCTGGGGCATGGCCATGCGCGCGCCCGTCATGATGGTGGCCGCAGCGCCTGCAAGGCCCATGGTGATGGCCTCGTCGGGCACCGGCGGCGGCAACATCAGCAAGCGGATGGGCCGCAGCGGCACCGGCGTGTTCCTGCCGTGGACGGTCGGGCCGAAGCGGTACAACAAGCACCTTCCGCCGCGCATCCAGAAGCGCCGGTTCTCGGCGATGATGTCGCCCATCGAGGCACAGGGCTGAGGACCAGCCCGACGTCAGGAACCGATGCAATGAGCCACCGTTTAATTCGTAGAGTTATTGGAGTGTTTTTTTTTCTCGTCGTCGAGGCAAAAAAAAAAAAAAAAAAAAGAAAAGAAGAAGAAATGGTCAAAAGCGCGGGCAGTTGAGTTTGGACGTCTGTGTATTTTGGTGACCTGTGTGGTTTTTTTTTCTATTCTCGAGGGCTTTTGGTCCGCCTGTAATTTAGCCGGGTTTGTGACTTGTGACTTTGTGAGTAGCGGAGTTCAGAAGCGGTAGAAGAGTATGGGTCTAGGGATAGGTGAATTCAGAATCAGGACAGGGTTTTCCTTTTGTTTTCATCCTTTCCCCCTTTTTTTTTTCCGTTCCGGGAAGAACTCGATGGATGTTGCCATGCATGCATCTCCTGCTGAGTTTGGAGTCCTATATATAGGTAAAAGATGCATCTTGTGTTGCTCACTTGTTGGATGTCAATCTCTTAGAGCGTGTTTGGTACTCCCTCTATCCTGTAATATAGTGTATTTAAAAAAAAGACAATTTAAGGAAATCCTCAAATGACGCATGTACACATAGATTAATACTACCAATTAAGTTATTTCTCCTCATTATGGTTTTTTAATTTTTTTTAAATCTAGGCATTGACACCTATAGAATGCATTATGTTTCAGTACAAATCTTAGAAGTTACAATGCACTATATTTTAGGATGGAGGGAGTACATGAGTTTTACCAAACTGGTCTCAAGATATCATACAGATCCTGAACTCTTGAACACTACTTCTGCCCCACTTTGTCGAGTCCTCAATGCTGAATGTGGCTTCGGTCTTGACAAGAGGAGGCCTACATGTTCGTTTTGAGCACTCTGTCTCCATACCCCCCCCGAATCTCCACTCCTCAATCCCAGTGCAGCACCATATTGTTGTCGTCATCCAAAACCCTTACCTTCTTCCTCCTTTTTTTTTTTTTTGGCGAATACTTCTTCCTCCACCTTGAAGCCTACCACATCGTCAATAGCTGAGGCAGTGGCTAAAGTTGATGTTCCCTAGGCAGAAGTGGAAGGTTAACAACTGCTTTGCCGATAAATTCTTGCCCCGATCAAGGATGAGCCTTGGGTCCGATCATCACCAAGTAGAATGTCTTGCTCTATCGCCTAATCAATTCGACAAGAATATCTGTTGGCAGTCTTTTTCACCTTGATTTCAACCATCAATACTCCTGAATTTGGAGCCCTAACTCAATTTTCACTAAAGATTTTATTTAAATTAATAAGTTCCAAGACAACTGGTGAATACTCTTTCCGTCCTAGTATACAAGGCACAACTATCTTGGGCAAAAGACCAAGAAAGACATTTACCTATGCATCCATTGAGATTGCACGCTTGGGTTACCGTGCAGACTTTGCTCACACACTCGATTAACTGGCCACTTGCTTGCATGCATGTTGAGTCAGAGGAATGGTGCCCAATTACTATGCACGTGAGAAATCAAGCTATTAGAATTGTGTAAAGAGTAGTCTTCTAACTGTCCTAAGAGAACTTAGTTTTGTCCAAAGCCAACTTGTCTAACTTTGACCAAATTTATACAATCAACATCTACAATATCAATTAAATACACTTTCAAATTATATTCCATAGTGTACCTGATAAATCTTATTTGATACTCCCTTCATTTCAAATTATAAGTCGCGTTGATTTTTTTTTGCTACATTAAATTTGTTATGTATAAGTGGCCTATAATTTGGAAGCGGAAGGAGTACTGTAGATGTGTGTGTACTTTGCCAAAACTAGATAAGTTTGACTTAAAACAAAATCAAAACAACTTACAATTTAGAATGAACATATCAGTTTTAGGTAAACAAGATTTCAATAATCAAATTTCAATTATGATGCCAGTCTTCATAACAATATATATCCACTTCCAAAATCGTTTACAGACTTGACTGAAACCTTGTGCAGTCTCATCCAGTTCTTTGTTGCTTTTGCCGACTAATAGAACTATTACTTTCTTTCCATGACTAGGATAGTAATCGATCTCTCTATGCATACAGCTGAATCCGAGAATTGTATGTGTCATCTTGTGCACAATCAATCATGAAACGGATAGAGATACGGCAGCCGAACGCAACTTCACACCATCGTCACCCCATTTTATCTCTGGAGCAGTAGCGCCGGCAATGTACGTCTGTCACCACATGCACAAAATTCAAGAAAATTGAAGAATCAGAAAGAAAATGCAATTGTCTAAGGTAATAAGGTGAGTTCTATAAGAACTAGCTAAAGATTGGCGTAAGTTTTCAGTTCAACAAATTAAGGGATATTTTAAAAATACAAAGTTTGATTTACTTTGTATTTTGTGAGGAACAAAAGTTTGATTAATTACTTCCATGGCCAGAATAAAGAGAATGACTTGATATACGTGGTACAGCAATAAGTGCCAAGTACTGTATGTGTATATTTGGCCCATATGGCTGGGCAGGCTGGCCCATTGAACATCTCGCCAGGCCTGGTTTGGTCTAACGTTAAGGGCCTAGGCCGAAACTGTCCTCTGTCGTTGATCTGATTATTATTCCGCCAGCAGTCAGCCGGCTCTCTGCTGTTGCCGCCCTACAAAACCAATTGCTGTAGCTGTCTCAGCATCTGTGCTGGAGTCGCCTTCAGCCGCTGCTAGCAGTGCAACCTGAGAGAGATTGGCTTGCCGCCGCCAGGGACTTGGAATCCTGGCGGCCTGATTTGAATACCAGTCTCTTCCCACCGCAGATTCAGGCGCCCCGAGTCCAGACTCCGGCGGTGCTCTAGGCGCACGCCGCTGGTATGGATTTCCGCTCAGTGAAGTGCCGCTTCCCAGGGCCCTCCTGCTGCGGTTACCACCACTGGAGTCTGTCTGCAGCCGCCTAATCTTCCACTGCCTGAAGCCATCTGCAACTTGTGTCATGTCGTGCGGCTGCTGATTATAACAGCTTATAACAAGGGATGTTTCAGTGGATTCTTCTACTTTCTTTTGGCCTTTGGTCAAAGAGTCAAATGTGCTTGGTGCCGCTGCATTGTGCATCTGGTCCTGCTTTACGGACTTGCGTTGTGACTTGTGACTGACTGCTGCACCTGTTTCTCACAATTCACACTGCTGTGGCTTGTCCTTGCTGCTGTCCTAGCCTATGGCCTCTCATGATGCTATGCTGACATTATTAGCAAGCTGAATGACCAGAATTATCACCTATGGCGTCTACAGTTGTGTGCTACTCAGGGGTATTGGTCAGGTATCTCATCTCACTGACAAGGCTCCTGTTGAGTAGGAGGTTGATGCAGAGACTGCTGCAGCCTGGAGGATCAGTGATGATCGTGTGATGGCTATCTTGTGCATGAGCACGGAGGAACCAATCAAGCTACAATTTATTGGTCTCTCATCAGCTCGAGAGATGTGGGAGTATCTTCAGCAGTGTTATGAGCATAATTGAGCACTTCACGTTTCTCTTCTGGAGAGGCTTCGTAATCTGCGGCAGCATTGACATGTCCATCTAGGGGTTTTACAATGCATTCACGCGTATCACATGGCAGTTGGACTGCACGATGCCAAAGGCCTGTCCTGGATGTGACTGTTCTGCAGCCAAGGAGAAATTTAATCAGAAGTACGACTTGATTAACTTCCTTGCGCATCTTCGCCCGGAGTTCGATCCTACTGTGGTTGAGCTTGTTGCAAGTTCCATGCTTCCCACCATGGATGAGGCTCTTACTGCTCTGATTATCAAAGATGTTTCTGTCTGCTGCTCATACCCAAACTGTCCGCTCTCAGTGCAAGAGACCTGGTTATCCTGCTGAGTGGTGCTATGAGCTTTATCCTGAGTTAAGAGATCACATGTGACATGTGCATCTTCAGGGCGTTAATTCTGCCTTTGCCAGTGATTAGAACTTAGGAGTCGATAACTAATCTGTTGGGTTAGCTTCAGATACTTCTGAGTGACCTTCAGGTTGTTGATCATCTGCATGTTTAGTTATATCATCTCTTACTTCCTCAGGTACTACTCTCCCTTGGGTTTTCAGATGGTTCATTTTAGCATTGAATCATCCAGTTTTCAGAGCTCTGATGGCACCTTCTTTACAGCTATTTATTTGAACAGTCTTTCGATTTTTCAAACATTGTTCCATATCTGCCTCTTTGAGCTTCAGTGCTCATCCATGAATCATGTCACCTAGAGAATTCACTGAATGATGGCCAGTACGTTTCCCTGCATCTTTTTTATCTAAACTTTTGACATGTTATTCATGTGCTTCACCAGTCTGTCTGTTAATGCTCCTACCATAGGCCACTACTGTACTGTCATGCTTTGCGTTGCATCAACAGTATAACACCCCTTCTTGTTGTCTCTTTATGTAATTCCAGTTAGCTTTCGCTTCTTAATTGCTCTGTTTCAACCAGGACAAGTGACCCCCTGTTGATCAATATCGTCTCTACATGCTTATTGGCACTTCTCTCTAAAGCAATTCCATGAAACATACCATGGTATCCTGTTCTAACACTAAGGATAAATTCTGGTTCTTAATTTGGAATTGCCTGGTTTCACTATCACTAGTATGGCTGATCTTGCTGTATGGGGTACATACTTACTGGCACTTCTCTCTAAAGCAATTCCATGAAACATACCGTGGTATCCTGTTCTAACACTAAGGATAAATTCTGGTTCTTAATTTGGAATTGCCTGGTTTCGCTAGTATGGCTGATCCTCCTCTATGGGGTGACAAAATTTAGTGCTATACAGATTGCTAATGATATGGCAAAACATGAAACAGCATGTTGTATTGGAGAGCTCCTTGACCCACCATCATTGTAAACAACCAGTGCATGCCTTCTAACTTTCAAGCTGTTTAAGTATAGCAGAACTAAGATTTGCATAATGTGTTGTGCCTATATGGTTCTGTTGTACATTTACCTATTCTCAAAGGAAAATTTAAACATCAGAATCTAAGCCCCTAGTATTAAAGAAACGGAGAAAGTAGTGATACAAATAGATGAAGGAAAGAAAACAAATACTCCCTCCATCCTGAAATGTAAGGGATTTTCAGTTTTTCTCTAAGTCAAACCATTCTAAGTTTGCAGAAAAGAACAATAATATTTAAGATGGTCAAACTTAGGATGGTTTGACTTAGGACAACTGAAAATCCCTTATATTTCAGGAGGGAGTAACAGAAAGCAGCATAGCAGACATGGAGTAGATATAATCCAACAGAAAAGTGCAAATGCATAGGAATCAATACTCATTTAACAATGTGAATCGAAAGAACAGCTGAGTACCTTCCCGCTATTCACGGTAGCCATCAGAGCAACGTGTTGCTTGTCCAGACTGAATTCATAGAAGTAATATGTCCTGTGGAAAAAATTACTCGTGAAAAAATTACAAAGGAAAACTATTTCCAAATTTGGATGCTATTTATTTCTACTAATATTTTTTAATTGGATATTTTTCTATAAAGTTAGTACAAAGATCATATAGTACCTAATATCCTCCTCTTCCTTAACTTTAATTGTTCGAGCTGAGAATACTTTTGCACCAGCTACAAAACGAAACAAAAATATATAAGGCAAATCATCCCAGATCAATACATCATGTCAATGCTTTAGAATTTAATATAACATTCTTGCTTCATATTTTCCTTATCAGTGTTTCTTTGTGTGCTAGAACGAGGTTTAACTTTTCAGTCCATATTTCTGTAATGAAAAGGGAAAATTTTGAAATAGCGACACTATATAGTGCCAAGAAAATATAATGTTAAACAAAAAGGTCTTGAAAAGCACATTGGCTAAAACAGGCTTCCTATTTGTGCAACTAATCATGACAGTAAGTGGCACAATTTTTGCTAGCTTTAAAAACTTGGATGCAAAGTAAGTCAAAGCTGTAAACGTTAATATGTGTCAGGCTGATCATAAGATGAACTGTCTCATTTAGAATGCACAAACCACAAGAAGCTAGGCCCAACATTGATTAATTTTCATCATTGATATATGAAATATGTGAATGCTTCATATTCATTGTCATCTAATTTGTTTCAAAAGAAAACAGTGCAGCATCCAATTCTAAGATAACAGAAATCACCAGGTACAAATATCTTGGATGCCTCCTTTAGAGTTCCCAAATCAGTTATATCTTTTGCCTGCAAACAAATATTTTTGGAACATCATTTAGAAATGGTCATGCACATACCATATAAAGTTCCTTCATGGTGAGCAAATATCAGTGGCAGCATCAATGCGTCTGATAATATAGGCCTTATTAATTGACTCTTTCTTTACAAAGAAGGTTTTGGTCATACTCATACCTATACTGGTGTGCCCTTTTATTGTTAAACACTCAAACTCAATAAACTTTGGAAATTCAACGCACTAAAAAGTAATAAGAGCAAGTTCAACTGATGATACAAGTGCTTGTCTAAAAGGGTGTCGTATCAGCTATAGACAAGCTTACAGACTACTCACTATGATGCCAGATATAATTATTAAGAAAGCTATGAGTCTACAAACTTTGCCTATGTTCGAACTCCTTTTAACAAGCTTGTCTATGTTCTATCTTCTATGTTTCAAGGATACAAGAGAATGCTCTAAACTGATGTGAGAACATATATCACTAGGCCTGCTCTGAAATGTCATGCCATTTTTGACTATATAGTGCAGAGAACAGATAAATTCAAGGGGCATTACACAGATGCCTGGCAAAAACAATAAAATGGCAAAGCTTTTTTAACCTCTAGGAATGTGATCTTGAGCTGATTTGACGGCTTAATCACCACACTTATGAGCTCATCCCTACATCAAACAAAGGGAGCAGAGCACTCCGCATTTAGCATGTGCAACACGTCACCACCAAAATTCATTCCCACAGCATCCATGTGAAATTGAGACAAATGTAACCGCAAATTAATGTACCGTACAGAACTGGAATGGCCGCAGTTCATGGAGTAGAGCGAGGCCTTACTTACCTACCTATCTGGAGACGCGAAGCGGGCCGCGTACGCCCGGGGCTTGGCCTTGTCGCCGTAGTATGTCATTCCGGCGTTGTAGTCCTGAGACGCGGAAGGACTAAAGGAGTCAGCATTCACCAATTCAAAACCAAACACTGAGCTCCCCCGCACCCCCGCGACGGCCAGCAACCCTAACCGCAGGAGGAAGATGGAACATAGGAGAGAAGATCAGTTCAGGTTGGTAATTACCTCGGGCTCGAGGATGTCGTCGAAGGACGGAGGCACGCGGATGGAGAAGCCGCTGCCGTAGTACTGCGACCAGGACCTCGTGTTCGCGATGCCGCCCAGCACCGGGGACCCAGGTTTAGAGGAAGGCGTTTGCGTTGGCGGCGAGGGGGGCGGAGACGGGGACGTCGCCTCCGCGGCCGCGGCGGGGGCGGAGGCCGAGGCCGAGGCAATGGCGATGGCGGTGTGGACGGTGAAGCCGCGGCGCGAGGCCCCGCAGCGGCACAGAGGTCGCCGTGGTGGGTTTGGGTGATGCGGCAAAGGGGCGAGCGGGAGGAGCGCGGCGGGGGCCATGGCGCCGCGCCGAGCGGCGGAGCGAGGGCCGAGTGCGGTTGGAGCCGTGGCGAGAGCGAGCACGGGGGTGATTTCGGATAAGCGGTGTGGCGCAAAACGTGGCGCTGAGGCGGGGCCACCGGAAGAGAAACGTGGTGGTTTTGGTTAACTCATGTCTGATTAACGTGAGAACATCGAGTTTGATGCAGCTCTGAGTTTGAGAGGCAAGGAGATCCTCATCACATCAATTGCTAAGTTGTATCAGTTTATGCGATGATAGTGTTTAAAATTCTTAAAAAACATTTGTAAAGGAATAACAAACATTATATCGCAGTACTGGTGGAGTGATGATAATGATCATAAAAGGACTCATCGGCGAGAATGGTGGAAGCTATGTACGTGGAACGGAAAATGAGGTATGGGGGTTCAAAGATTTGCAATCTTTTAACTTGGCGATGTTAGCAAAGTGAGTTTGAAGACTTCAATCTCTATACGCCAGGTGCTTAGAGCTCATTACTATCCGGACGATAAGATGTTGAAAGCAAGATTGAAAGGTGGGAGTTCGTATACATGGCAAGTGTACTAGTGGGGCTTGAATGCTTTAAACTTGGATATATCTGAAGGGTTGGAGATGACATGCAGATTAATATTTGGGAGCATAATTGGGTTTCGGGCAGTCACAACGTGAAATACAAACGCCTAGAGGCAATATTATCTTAGGGAAAAGCTAAACAACACTCGGTTGTTTTGTTGTCTCCCCACACGCGATTTGCTGTCCGCTGGATCAAACACGCGTAGCTCCCTCTGCTGTCAGATTTGTCTCCGGCGCCTTTTCTTTTGTGTGAATCTCTGTCATGTGGGGTCCACATGTCTGTGCTATTTTTTCAGATTTTGGGAGTCGCGTCCGATTTGTGGTGCCGGTTTCGTTTTCTTCCCCATTTTCATTTCCTCTCGTCTCCCTCCTTGGGTTGTTGTTTTCCGGCGGTAGGGCACATGGCAATTTCCTAGGGTTTGGCGAGGTATATTGCTTCTGCTACCTTGGGTCTGTAGTAAATCTCCCTCCCCGCGTTGTGGTTCGTTTTGCTTTGATTCGAGTTTTATTTTGCTTTGTTTCTCTGGTTTTTGGTGTTGGTTGAAGCACGGTGGATCCATGGCGGCAATGGCGCCCTTGGTGTTGTTTGATGTGGGGATTTGTTTCCTGGTTCATGGATCCATGGAGCCAGCGCCAGTACGACCACCCCCCTCATTTTTCTCGCGTCTCCATGGCCTCCTCTATCTACACCCCGTCCCAGCTCTGCTCCTCGCACTCCCAGGTCGCTACCACGACCACCTTCCCGGCCTCAAGACTGCAAGTCTGCTCCATGCCGCCGCGCGCTACGCGACGGTAGCTGGTCGTAGCAGAGTGCGCCAAGCTCTCAGTCTTGGCCTTGCCGACGCCTGCACCACGCCGGCCTTTGGTGGTGGTTTGGGGCAGCTCTCCTTCCTCTCTTGTAGTTCAGAGCCATAGACATCGCACCCTCTCTCGCGTCCCTACTGTGAGGATCTGCTAGTGTCATTGTGATGCCGATCTGCATTCTGGTGGTTTGGGATGCCGGATGCTTGTTTTTTCTTTCATTTTTTTCGGATCCACTCGTCCTTGTGGTTGTGCAATCTTCGTATGCCCCTCCCATTGCTGTTGTCTGCCTTTGATTCGTTCATTCTCCATGCTGTAGTAGTAGAACTGAAATTTGTTTACACATTCTGTATTAGCTAGTGTACAATACAAGAACGTGCTCAAGTGCCACTGATTGCTAGATCTGGTCTCTTGTGGCCCTATGAGTTGCCTGTGGTTGATTTTTTCTACCTATGAGCAACCTATTATTGTTTCTGAAATTTCCTATCATAGTCAGTTGAGTGTCCAAATTTATTAGAATTTGCACTCCTATTGAAGTGTGATATTTGTTGATTTTGCACAATCGGTTGAGTGTGCAAATTTGTTTGTGGTTGAAATTTGTGCGTGTTGTGCAAATTCATTTTCTAGGCTTTGTTGTGATCCATCCATTTTGCCATTTTTTTGCCTTTGCCAGAGTGTCAGTCTATGTATGTAGAAACTAGTTGGAAATAAACAGAGATTGGCCCTACCCAGCTACTCCTGGTGTGGTGTGGTGTGGTGTCATGTCTGTACTTATTTTTTCAGTATCAGAGTATAAGTGACAGTACTAGAGTTTTTAGGCCTGCGACACAGCTTGTATTTCTCATTGTAAGTGCAGGACATAAATGTGATGTGTTGAGCTCATTTAGTTTTGCTTCTGGTCCATCGGAGCTGATGCTTGTGAGTAGTTGTTCATGGCTAATTGCTTTTTCTCCCCTGAAGTTGTTGATGGGCGGCCTGGGGCTTGTTTATTTATCTCTAACTGAATTAGCATCATGGTTGATCCACTTCTACTATTGTGGTTGAAATGAGTTGTTGACCATAGATCTAGGTTGGCATAGTTGTTTTGATTCTCCAATTGTTTGATTCATTTTTTATTTTGGTGGCCACCTCTCATATTTTTTTATTTCCATTGTATGTGCTACTATAATTCATATTTTTATATTTCATATCTGTATATTCTATGTTTTGAATTGTGTTCCTCTGTGTTTTGCCTTGGTTCTGCTATAAATTTGGATCAATAGAGTTGCTTAAACACTAATGTTCTAAACAAATGTTTTTGTTTACTTTTTCAGTTCTTCTGTAGCATCAGCAGGGGAGGTACTCCATCCTGAAGAGCAAGGTAAGCCAACTGCTTTTTTTGCTGCTATTTGTACATGCTATTCTAAGACCATTGTGAAATACAAAATCCTAATGTTCCGATGATCATTTGCTTGTTTTGCATGAGATTGTTTTAGAAGTTTTATTCTGTAGTGATTTGTTGGAGTTGTTTGCTGTAGCCTATCCACTTAGTCTGTACTAGTATTGGACTGCAGGTTAGATTTATCATTTACTCGGTATGCAGTTTTTACTTTATCTATGGAAATTGGTCTTAAAGTGATTATGATTGTATAGGTTGCTTTGAAAGCAGAAGGATCTCTTTTTCCTTGATTGCACCGTCTTGCGTTTTCAGTTTTTGCTTCATGCTGAAGTGGTGGCTAAAATGAACTGACTTATGTATCACCTTATTCTTTTTTTAATGCTCAAGTGGTGGTGATGTTCTCAGCTCTTTTTTTGTGTCCTTTCTCTTTGGTTTTTCAAACCAACACATGGTTATGTTCTCAGTTCTCATGGATGTCTTTTTTGTTGTTGTTATTGTTTGGGTTGTTTAATCTCTAGAGAGATAGAGAGGATATTGACAGCTTATTTTGTTGTATTTCTATTTTTTGGGCTTGTTTTTAAACCCCTCAAGTTGGCAGCTTGTTTTATTGTATTGTTGTTTCTTTAGGGTTATTCTTTTAAGTTTTTCCTCTTAATTGGAAGCTTGTTCTATTGTAATGTTTTTTCTTGGGTTTTTTAATTTATCTTTCTAATTGGAAGCTTTTTGTATTGTATTGTTGTTGCTTTGGGGTTCTAATTTTAAATTTATCTTTCCAATTGGAAGCTTGCTGTATTGTATTGTTGTTTTTTTATTGGGGTTTGCTTTTTAAATTAGATCCCTAGTTCACAGCTTGTTTTGTTTTAGGGATGTTTTTATAATTTGGTGCGCAGTTAGCAGTTTTTTATGTTATTTCCTTTAAGTTTGACCCTGTAACACCTCTGATATTACGAGCTCGCTAAGCATTAGTGTTCTCTCAAAGTAAACCATAGAATGCCCCTGTGGAATAGCTGCCCCTGTAACACCCCTGTGGAATAGCTGCCCCTGTGGTATCAAGGTTGTTGACCAAGTACAGTTACCAAGTTACACCGACGTACCATTTTTGATACAAAATATTCTTCTTGGAAATATTTAGGTGTTCAAATGGAAAGTCCACAATGGGTTGATGCAATAGTGTTCTCTCAAAGTAAACCATAGAATGTGGTTTTGGAGGAAGCACGTATATCGCGATCTCAGTTCATACAAAAGGTTGGCACATATGGTGAACAAGGAAGGGAAGGAAAAAGTTGGCCTCGGGTAGTAGGGAGTGCTTGGAAAAGCCTGAGTGGATGTCAAGTCCCAAGCTCTGTGTCCAGCTAGACCACACTACGCACGCCTATCACTGTTGCCGTGTGCCCTACGGACGCCATTTGTGTCGGGCCCATTAGCACCCCGAATGCCGCACTAGATGTCCTCGTGCACTGTGCACTTCTTCTTTTCTAGACATCCGATCAGCTCTCGATCCCACGACCTCGTCCCCGTACTAGATCCTCCCCCTCCCTCCTTTTGCTTCTTTTGGGGACACAGTCGCCCGCACGCCCTCCTTGCCGAGCAAATCCCCTCCCCTCTCTCTTATCCTCCTTTCGTTCGCTCGTGCATGGAGCGCATCATGGCTGACTTTATCCCCACTGCATGAACCGTCAGTGTCTCCCATCCACACCGTTTCCACTTCCGGTGCACTACACCCCACCTCCGTTCAACACTATAAGATGCCCTTGGCCTTTGCTCTCCTTCTTCATCCCCATCCCCTCGAATCCGAAGTAGAGCTACGAGATCTAGTCATCATTGTGGAACTATGTTCATCAGTCAGAGGTGATTGTGTATTCTGAGAAGAAGAAGGGATCTGGTTTTGTCGAAGGAGTTCAAGTCTACCGATGGTTAGTTGGTCTTAAGGTTCACGATATTTGACTTCTCAGTCTCCTATTTCTGGATCTGTTGGACATACGCCATGTTTTGGATAATTATTTTCTTGTTGTTTCTCCATTGCCCTCGTCTATCCCAACTTCTGGATTAATCCTTGGTTGTATTAGGTTGCTCTTAACCATGTATCCCTAAATCCCCATGTGGTTCAGTATTCGAAGTCGTGTAATCTTTCGTGTAATTTTAGATCTACGAAGTGTAATCGCGTTACCTCCTTTTGGGTTCTTGCTCCGAATCTCAGGACAAGATTCTTTTTAAGGGGTGTTGGTTGTAACACCTCTGGTGTTACGAGCT